ATTCAAAATTTTATCAAACACTGCGGAAACTCTTTTTGGAAACCTTTCATAAACATTACTATTATAAAGATCTGCGTTATATGTAAAAGTTGTTTGTTTTGTGATGCGAGTTGCAAATAAGGACTTCTGGAAATGACCATTTTCTCCACACAGTACAGTACTTGTAAGAGTCGGACTTGATCATGAATCATATTTCTTACCTTCGTTTCACACCTTGACCTTGCAACTGATTTCCTGTTCGTGACTTGACACAAAGTGTGTTTTAGAAGTGTTGTACTGTATATTTCGCCCGAGTTTGAATAATTAGGAAATTTATAGTAATATCATGTGAATTTTCTAAATTGGCATTGCGCGGCCGCGGTTACTACATTATGCCTCATAACCAGAATTACGCAACACCTGCTTCTTAGTATTAAGAATGATTTGTCACGTATGAAAGCCTGATTAGAAGATGTTGTTAGCTAAACGAAGAAACATTCTTGCATCGATTTTCGTAGTTGTTTCAATATTTCTCAAACTTGAGCAACAAAAGGGAAAGGTCGAAATAAAAAAGTTTTTTACTTTTTTATTTATCGGAGTTGTATATGACGGATAAAACTTTTTTGCTTCTTGAAACTGAAAAACTGAGAAACTACGTCGCGTTACAAAAACGCGTCCGATGTGTGTCAGTCTCCATTCGGGAAATTATACGCGAATGTATATAGAGAAATGCGATTTTGTATTGCTTTCATATCGTGTCGCATATTTCTGGCGATGTATATAATGCATGTCTACAAGAGCATATGCTGGCCTTACAAGATTATTCTAGCTACTAAGAAATTATACGCGGCATTATTGTTAATAATTATTGTTTCGATTTTCAAAGCATGAATAGTAAAATAAAGAAAGTTTCGTGTTGCATCTTAACATCCAACATGTCGAATGAGCACACCAACCAAGATTAGACGCATTGACCAACTGGTTTTGTCGCTTGAAGCTTTAGAAGTTGGCGTGGTTGTTAAAGCGGTTGTGTTGGAAGGTGCAACAGTTGTGGTTGAAGGTCCCAGGGGACATTCGATCTTGATCTTATCCACCAATTCCTTCACTTCGTTTTCCCAATATTCACCAAGAACCTTCTTGTACAGTGCATAGTACTTGTTCTTTTTCTGATTCTGTTGCGTGATGTCTGAACAGGTTGGATAAGGGACAATGCGGCGATGTTTTTGTTGTCGTTGTATTCACCAGAGAGAGCATATTTAAAAAAGGAAGTTTTAAACACCCTTTTCCCGTTTTCTGTCTGCAAAATTACTTTCGTTTTGTTTTTGATAAAAGATGGTAGCTCACCGTCGTCTGAATCGTATCCTTTCGCGAGAAGTTTCCAATAACGGAATATTTTCCAGTAGTCGCCATGGTACCAGTCATCCCACTGATCACGTGGAACTGGGATTCTTATTACCTTGTTGCACGTGTCATTCACGCCATACGCGGTAAAGTCGATCACTACGCCTCTGTTATCGACAACGTCGTCGTAGTAGCCCAATGAATTCGTAGTGTACTCCAGGTTGGTAAGTTTGCCGAAGAAAGAATTGTTCCAGTTTGCCAAATCAATTTCTTCCCCATCTCCTTCTTTGTATTCACCGATATGAACGATCTGCAATTTTGCCTTCTTGCTCGGAGCTTTGCAATATTTTCCATTCCAATATCCATTTCCAAATCTCAACGATTCTGTTTACGTCACAAGGGCTGTCGGCGTCGATATCGAGAACTTTCCCGCCGAGGAACTGGTCACGAACTGAACCACCAAATGGTATACAGACACAACCATTCTGTCTCAGTTTGTCAAATACAACCTTGATGGTTGTTTTACCAAGTCCTGGTACACGGGCCTGTAACGCCTTGTTCATACCTTAATTTCATTAATAAAATGATCACTCTACATATAGGCCCGTTTAATTGCAATTTTACTGGGATGTTGAGACAGTTAGTAACGCTATGGTATAAAAGTACCTTATTTGACAAAAGGAGAGAATGGCAGGAAAAATCACTCGGGCCTTAAGAGATTGAATTTGAAATTCCCTTTTGATAGTTGTAAACAAGCATGGATAAGTTATAGATTATGAAATAAGGATGTTTCAGTTTTAATTTTTGCTAGCCGGTGGTTATCACCATGGTGGAGTTTATTAAAGTAAACAAGATCAACTTGTAGCTATAGTAAAGCTATAGCTATACAAGTTGATATTTGTAGTATAGTATGGAAAAATTATATGCATTGGTTGGACAAGAAATACAATACATTTATGCTGTCACGCGTGGTTGTGACTAACACCAATTGTTCCTAGAATTTAAATATTGAGATACCATAATGTACCTTGTGTAACCGTGTCAGAAACAAATGTTTTGGCTGGCGAACGACCCCATGGTTTAGGTTGTTGATTGTATGTTATGTTCTTTGAGTCAACCTCGACATAATTGGAACAAGCGCCGGTGCTTCGTTTCACGCGAGAGGAAAAGGTAGAATTTCGTTCACTTCCATCGCGATTTTCAATATCGACGGCGCGACCATCCAGGAAACTAGGAATATAACAGATGCATTTGTAGTTAGCTACGTTCCAATATAACCAGAGAGCAGTTCGACAAGGTCAAAACGTCGTCAAGGCAAACTGTATCTCCTTGATACACCCTGTATACACAGATTGGGCATCGTGAAATCTCTTGAAAATATTTACGTCTTACATCAAAATCAATCGTTTGAAAGTTCATAGTGCGCTGTGCAACTATCAATCTATTTTCCACCATTGGAAACTGAAGCCTTAATTTTTTAAGTCTTCTCGGAATGATTAAAATGCCATTCAGGTACTTCAATTTCACAAACTCCATCATGGATGTATCTTACCTTGTAACATGACCAAGATAGCCATGTAAACTCTTGCATAAAGGATCGCTGACATGTTGAATCCAAATATTAGCGATTGTTTCAGCAGTTCAGCTATAAATATTGCAATTTGTAATCATTTTATAAATGGAATATACATGTTTCAGACGTCGAACTTTTCATGTGCCAAACCTAATTTTAATGAACTAAAATCTTTGTTTAAGTTCACAAAGCCCTCTCTGTTAAAATATTTTACAATATACCCCTTAACATTGATTTCTAAGAATAGCAATTAATATTTCATTTTTTGATAACGAGCGTAAACGATTGTAGAGTTAAAATCATTTAAAAGACACATATATAAATCCAACATATGAATAAATGCATGCAAAGGCTGTTTTCATATAACAGGCTTTAAACATTTACCCCCGCCAAAGAACGCGGGTGGAAATCCGCCTTAACGCGTGACTGACTGCGGTGGAGCGCAGGTAAAACACCCTGGGTACGAGGTTGACTCAAATGCCGGTCATATGATGTTTTTGAAACACAGTGAATTATGGAATTCTTGGAATTGCGACGAAGCCAACTTAGCATACGTATTCGCTGTCAACATATGTACTGCAGTAATAACAAAAAACTGCCGAAAATGTGACTATAGGAGAATAAAATGTGTTCAAAATAAAACAAATTATTTCGAGTTGCAGGGAAAGCCAGGCGAATATACACAAGTACTAATATATCGTGAAAAAGTTACTTTCGTTTCAGCTGCATGTTTATGCTCAGCCCATCTTGCTTCGCCTCAAAGTCATTGAAAATTCGTCTACTTCCGACCTGAATTTTGTTCCTCCAAACATTCATGACAAATCTATTACTAAAATCGTAAGGTTTGCGAAATGCCTACTGATCCTGGAGACTTTTGGGTAGGCTATGTTAATTTTTATATGTTATGTAATATTTGCTTCAAGTTTATCTGACATTGACTACGTGCAGTATGCTGAATGCAGTGCTTGTCATCAATTATCACTATACAATTTTGCATATATTATGACAACAGTCACTTAGATTATCACATTTCTTTGTATCTTACCTTCTTATTTGTTGATAAAGCCTCCAGAGCCTTGTTCACTTGGGCTTGAAAATTTTTAACGCTACTGTAGTTTGTTTGACTTGGGTTATAAAACGGGAAATTGAAATTTGATACCAACACTGGCGTTGCCATCATTCATAAGTAGATGGAATATATCCATATATGGCCATGTTCATGCACTGAGCGTAATATTAAGCAATTGGTTTACAAATACATAATCTCCCAAATCTATCGAGCTGGGTATATAAAGGGTTACAATATTGAGGCACAATATTGAGCTGTGTTTACACCATACAAGCTTATGAACCTGTATATATAACCTGTGTATAAATGTTTTAAATAATAAAAAGTAAACAATAACAAATAAATAATAATAATGAATAACATAGTCTCCCCTATCACGGTAGTATTTCTCATATATGGTTCCGTAGTAATTAGCCAATTCTGTTGCGATTTCCAGTCCCTTAAGGCGTCGTGTTAAAGAAATAAAAGATAAATGAATATGTTATGTGTGCAAAAAGCAAGCAGAAATTCAGTTAAGCCTGGTTCTCATCATAAGTCACCGACAGTCGGCGATGTATTGTTTGTGGCCGATATCGAAGAAAATTCATTCAAAACAGCAAAACATTTCATTCATCAGTGATCACCGACAATAGCTATCGCCGACCATCGGGAGTTATATGAGAGCCATGCAGGCCTTAGAAAGTGGAGGGGCTAAGCCTCCCAAATTTCCGGAATTTTATGCCAAATAAGGAAAAATTCTATCATGTTATCGATCTCTATCTAATTTTTAACAAAACTATCATGGAAGATTGTATATTGCAACAGATATCAGTGTTTGATATTAGATATAGCAGTTAAAATCATTGAAATATGACTACCTTCATAATTATATATAATTTGCTTCAATTAAAATTTACAGTGTTACACGTTTTCGCCCGACAATACGGTTTTATTAGTATCAGTTTTTTATCATGGTTCGTGATTTAATTAAGCGAGGATTGGGATCCTTGCTAAAAGGGAACCTTGTTGTTTACCAAAGTTTTGATTCATCGATTTTAGGAAGCGTATGACAACTGTAAGGTCATTTGCTGTGGTAAGAAACTGGGCGAGTCATCCAAATGGAGAGAAATCAGACGAACCGGTGAGTCGCAACGTGACGAACTTGGGCTGCACAGAGAATTTCACCGCGCCATCCAATTCCGAATTCTGGAAATTTAAGTGGAATAAAAGCACAAAAGCGAGACAAAGTTTCTATTAATATGCCACCTGCCGTGTCGCAGGGCCGGGAATTTTACGCAGAACAGAACGCGCTTTACATCATCTTGAACAAACAAATGTCGTGGTATTTACAGTCCATAATGTAAACAAACACTTTGTTTATCTTTCGAACCACTATATATTTATATATTGCCTAAAATATCAAAAACTGTCAAAAAAGAAAAAAATATCAATAATTATTTTGGTTCGCTGTAGAGTATGAGCTGGAGTTTATATTCAAAATATATATTTTTGCTAAATAAAGTGTTAAATCAATTAGCTATCATATCCATGCATTGTTTTGAGCATAACCCATGCACAGAAGCTACCTCAATCCTTCTTAATATGTCAATCTTAATCTATGTTAATCTTAATCTTTGTTAATCTTTTTTAATCTTTGTTAATACGTATATATGCCCATCTATATTTGTGGCTTAACTTCACGTCTGCTGATACTGCAGGCTGCTGATGAACAATCATTCTGTATAATATCTTCAACCCATAGGCCAGTCCATCCAGTCAAAAAGACAATACCCAATCACCCGAACTGTCCCACCAACCACTGGGGTTTCAAGATGTCCAACCAATGTCTGATGATGACAATGCTGATATCCGCATACCTTCTATTCCTGATGACGATGATGATGGCAATGTTGGTACGTGCATTTTATTACTCATTACATCTTTCTCATATATACTACCATCTGGAAATTTCGGGACTTTTTATTAAGACCTTGTACAGTCATACATGCACGAGCAAACATAGATAAGCGTATAAAACTTTATTATTTTTGGACGCTGGCCCCAAAAATATAAGTATATATATTTGTTTACTTTTATATTGCATATGCATTTAAATATGTTACATAGGTGAATATTTAAGATATTTCAACCGTATTTCAACAGCACTGTACGAACTCACTGTTTCTATTTCAGACCTTTCACCTCTTGTTGCTTCGAACAAAAAGGAATTGGATGGCGAATCTTCGTCAGATATAACCCAGAACGCTTCAGTGGCACAAGATGACGTATCATCAATGGCAGTCGATGAAAGTCCTACGAAAGATGAATTACCACAAAGTTTCGGCGTAGAGGGTAGTTTACCTGGTGGTGAAGAAACTGTTTCGAAAATTGTCGTTCAAAGCAATTGGGAAACGCCATTATTGAGTACGTATTGTAATTGCTTTTGGCTTGTATAGTTTATATATCTAGTTTTATTCATTTCAGCTAATTGAATTAATTTTAACCACTAGATTTTTCTTCTAACTGGTACAAAAAAGTTTTCAGCGGGAAATTGTATGAAATACACTGAGAAAAACATACAACGAATATAGCTACACATGTTTTGAACTCCATATCTACGAGTTATCGGCACGAACTTTGAAATAGTCTGAGCAAAATTACTGTGAAATATATAGTCGAAACTGGAAATCATGGTCTGCAGAATGTGTCCCCCAAAGCGAAAAGTTTTTAATTTTCATGGCCACCAAAGCGAAAAGTTTTTACTTTTCTACTGCTCTAAAACGGCCTTTCTTCCCCAAAATTGAGGGTTGTATACACGCAGTTTTTGTTATCGTGTAATGCTATAGAAAACAAAATAACCAAATCATTCCAGTTGACACCGTAATTTTATCGCGGCTTTTTGTTATTACAGTTATTCGACTTTTTTTAAGCGATTATTTTTAACAACTGAAGTAGCTAAATCATAAAATAGATACAGGAAAAGAACAAGATTTTGATGAAGAAGATGAAAACGATGATAATCCTTTTGCTGGTGATGATGTTGACATATATGAAGAGAAGAAATCGCCTGAGAATGAGGTATTTGAAGCGAAGATCATTTTAGACGATATTATTTATATTTTATATGTAAGTTTAATTGATCGATGTCAGTCGTTGATAGCTGATTCTGAGGATGTGTTTAAAGCTGGTTTTCCACTGGCGATATTTTTCGCGCGAATCGATATTTTACTTTTGTTCAGAGCTCTCAACCCAAACCATCTGGAATAAATTGATCAAATACAAAGGAATAAAGTCACTTCGGGGGAAAATATGGCTAGTAGAAAACCTTGTCTAATGTCGGTTTTCCACTAGCGGTATTTTTCGCGCAAAGCGAATTTATTCTTTTGTATTTGAGAAATTTGTTCCGGGTGGTTGCAGTTGACAACTCTGAACAAAAGTAAAATGTTGCTTCCAGTGAAAACTATCTCCAGTGGAAAACCGGCCCTACTATCCCGAAAACGCCTGAACGCAGTTTACCATACCAAAGACTATCCCGTCTGCGCACGCGCGGAATCACTTTCAATATGCGAAACAACTATTATATACTTCTGATTTTTTTTAAAAGGCCGGAGAAGCTTCGGAATCGGAACTTTCTATATAAAGGACAGTCTCGCGGGGTGGTCTCGATCTAATTTTGATCAGAGCCCCAAGCTAATAGAGTAAGAAGACCAATTATACTTGCATAGATCCTCGATCTTATTAGGATAAATGCGCCACTCGTAGGAGCAGTCTCCTGGCCCAATGACGTGATTACCAATGGTCTGGAATATGTGCCATACATATATACATGCAGGTTTTCAATCAAAGGGTTCTCATTTCCTAAACAGCAGTCTCCATCGTCAAGCATTGGTTTGAAATCTGGGCAACAGAGTCTCCAGTCTCGTCCAACAGCAAAGAAAAGAGTCGTCTTGGACATTAAAACGAGAAAAAATAAGCAGCCTCGGTTTGATGAAGAGGAATATGAAGGTATCGTTAACACGAGAACGAGGCTTAGGGGCCAAGACCGCGAGCCTCGTTCCCGCATTATGACTTATTTCCATACTTATTAGTCAAAATGAAAAATTATTTTTCATGCACGGGTTATAGAAGGTTGTTTTGCATCTTCGCACATAGCTTGTGAGAGTGAAACTTAATATCCATCTCATTTAAGGTGGTTCTAAATTTAAAACGATAATGTTGTGACGTAATTACCGAAAAGGTCTATTATTACATCATTACATATATTCACGATAATTACGATTATTATGCATTCATACTGTATTCTCGTGTCTGATTGGTCGAAACACTCCAAATAAATCTCAATATCCGGTTAAATTTCATATTTTCACCGAAAACATCGGTCCAAAAAAATCAATATCCCTTATCGCTTGGTATCAACATCCCTTGGTATCAATATCCCTTGGTATCAATATCCCTTGTTGTCCCTCAGCTTCGCTTCGGCAGATAACTTTGACCTCGGTCTGAATAATTCTTGATATCATGCTCAGCCTCATCCAATGATTGTATATTAAATTAAAAATGGCGTAAAATAATATGCATAATCTACTTCCCAAAACTATAGCGAATGCGATTAAAATGACGATAACTCGTTTCCTATTGAAGCTCCCATTCTAACACTCCTTAAAAGAAGGGCAAGATATTCTACAAATTTGTTTCATGTAAAATAGAGATTCCTTATTTTTTATCGGGTAAAGGTTTAATGTATGCCAATAGTAGATCGTCCTAATCTTTTATGTCTGTATGCATGAGCTTTTCCATCGAAAAGGAACATATATTATATATTTTAGCGCAAAACTTCGTTCGTCTATACAATGCCGATAGGGGAAGAAAAGGCGGTTCTAAAGAAGTCACTGATCTAGATATCGTATTGACTAACGTTGAAGAAATTGCTTTGGATATGAGGTAGCTACTGTATGTCACTCAAAGATTCTGTATATACGCATGTCATATTTGAGTCAGAAAAGCGCCTGAATATGCATGTATACCGTCAACTTTTAATAGCTCAAAATATTATGACAAACTAATCTGTGATATGCAACATTGGAGGTAACTTCTTTCAAATATTCAAAAAGGTTTTTCTAAATTATTCTTACCACAATTAAATGGTTAACTATCTAGAGAAAATACGGCTTTAAATAAGGTTGTATTTGAACGGCAAATCATTGCATGGTTACATGAAACTAATACTATGTAACTTGGTCATTTTTTTCTTAGGCGCCAAGCAAATTCACCATTAACCAAAAAGGTCGTAAGGGAAGCGTTCATCCAACTTCGACAAATATTCAGTGATACGGCAAGTGCCTACAGACGCCTTTTTTGTCATGTTTCGTATATATAACGAACTGAGTACGTATATGTTTTTACTCTATGTTTTACTGTATGTGAATGAGCGGAGTTTCCTGACTTTCAGATTGATATCTACAAAGAAAAGAAATATTTACAATCTGCTACGACGAAGGTACCAACAAATTATTATTCATGTATTTTGGTAATATTCCGGCATTCGCAACCAGGAATAAAAATTTAACAATCTATTGAACTTTAATTTATGATATAACACATATAGTACGCGCGTGCTGATTGGCCGAGAAGCGTGTTTCTATAACTGCATGTATAGAAAGACGGAAGATGTTTTCTATTTCTTAAATAATTATCAAAGTTTAAAATGGTTTAAATCATGCACGACATCAAGTGTAACCATTTCGCTTTAAGTTGAAACTTAGCTTTAAGTTGTCATCTAATATCGTGACGATCTTAATCGTGCATGAAACTGTGGCCTCTGCCCGCACCTTAATTCATGACCGAGCAATTTCTCTCCCCAGACGAATTCCAGACTGCAGAAAACGAGACAAGAATTGGTGAAAATTCAAGATCAGAGAAAGGAGTAATTATTATACACGTTATATACATATTCATTCTCGCCTGTTTTTGTTCACTGAATTAGCACATTAGGTAATTGGCTTGATATATGCTATAGAGGCAAAGAAAAGTAGTTCGTTTGCTTTTTTAAAAAAAAAAGTAGGGTTGTTTTTAAAGAATTTCTTATGAAATTCATTTTTCCGAAATTTTCATCTACCACACATAAGTGTTCTCTATACTACAAGCAGGCTTGCGTGCCAGATAGTGACACGTACTTTGGAAAAAATTAATTATAATACGCGGAATGTTATCGTATACAATTAAAACAGAGATGTCAAAATGAAAAAATCTTTAATAATTTTTTAGAACGGAGACGGAATTGAATAGACTAAAATCGGAATGCGACACTTTGGAGAAACAGATTAAGGTGCGTGATACTGACTTATTTCACTTAAAATGAAGTAATGCATAACTAGAGTAATATATTCAATAGAGGCAATAGCTTACTCTCGATAGCTGGAGCTGCATGTGCAACTTTCAAAAACCTTTTTCTATATTTTATGCTCAAAAGATTAGAGTAAATTAGTAAGGAGTGAAGGAATCATCGTTGCCCCAAATATACTTGGTGTATATTTGTTGAATCTGCGTCATCACATTAATTTTGCTGAAATTCAAAAACTGAATATTTCTTGTCTTTTACCTAGTGCAAGAAAGAGGCCTTTGATTTTCTTCATGAGTTTGAAAAATTTCAAGATGACTTGAGAAAAAGCGACAAGAGTCATAATAAAACGGTAAGAAGTAAGAAAAGATGTGAGTGACTTAACGATGTTAGAAAGTGTGAGTTATTTTAGAAATATATCGGACATTTTGTCTAAAAATGGTGACAAAATGTCTGAAGGTGGCGACGGAATGTCTGAAGATTGTGACAGAATGTCTGAAGATTGTGACAGAATGTCTGATGATTGTGACCGAATGTCTGAAGATGTAACCGAATGTCTGAATGTGGTGACAGAATGTCTGATGATGGTGACAGAATGTCTGAAGATGTAACCGAATGTCTGATGATGGTGACAGGATGTCTGAAGATGGTGACAGACTGTCTAATGATGGTGACAGAATGTCTGATGATGGTGACAGAATGTCTGAAGATTGTGACTGAATGTCTGAATATGGTGGCCTAATGTCCGGAGATGGTGACAGAATATCTGCATGAAGATGGTGACAAAATATCTGAAGATTGCGACCGAATGTCAAATGATGGTGACGGAATGTCGTAAGATTGTGACATAAAATCTCATGATGCATGGTGATAGAATGTCTGAAGTGGTGACAGAATGTCTAATAATGGTGACAGAATGTCTGAATATCGTGACTATCGAGAATAAAAGTGTGCGGGATTTATCATATTTCCTCAGTTTGTTTCTTATCTCTAATATAATTTTCCATATTATAGTATAAACGAGCAATAACTATTTTTTCTGCTTGAATGCAACTAAAACTCGTTCTAATCTTGTATTAAGGAATGTTGTGCCAACGACGGTCTGCCAACATTATTGTGTGAAGCAAGCGGTTACCTTTCAACAGAGAGACAGCTGAGAAATATCAACAATAAATTGCAATCTTGGTTGGATAACAATAACAAATAGACAATGAAAGATTTTGTGATACTCGTAGTGGATTGTCCTGTATGGGGTATTTTCAAGGGGTCGGCCTTTCAACATTTGCAAATGTTGAGCGTATAACTGTTACTTGAAATGTCAAGAAAACATTCAGATTATGAAGTAACACTCGGGGGAGCAATGAGATGGACGGTTAGTTCAGGACTAGAGACGCGCTTGAAGGATTTAAAAATCGAGGCTTAATTTTAATCTCGAGGAAGAAAATTTCTCTAAGCAAAGTCAAAGAAAATAGAAAAATTATATTTAACAATCATGTTTTATACATACATAAATATTTTGACATATTGTATATTCTGTATCTGGTTATTTAAATGCACCTATGTTCCGTTGTAGAGACGTTTGAGTTTACAATTTTAATCCTGCATTGAGGCAGGGCGTAGCGATAAATTTTGTGGTCACGTGTGATATCGCTACGTTATGCTTCCGTATTCTTCCATTTGAGTGGCAAAAAGACTGTCAATACCGACATATTGCGGTGAAAACCTGTGAACTAGATATCGATTCGATGAACACAGTTCTTGGCGGTCATATAAGTCGATGAAATATGATAATGGCTTAGGTAATCGTAAGACATGGGAAGAAAATAAGCGGCCATATTTGTGACAGTCGCTGATCTGAATACGTAGACTAGATAGTTCATGTATAGTATGAATAAATCATATACATTTCAAAATAAATAAGCGTGTGCGCTTGGATTTAAACAGCGATTATGCATATAAACATTTATATTTTATCAATAGAAATAGAGAATAGAAATTCTTTACAGCCGTTTGATAGAAATTTAATATGTTGAAAGCAAATTATATATGAGAGGTTTTGGCTTGTATTTTGCGATATACCGAGTGTATTTACTGATCTGATGATATAACCTTGATATATCACTACTATAGCAATCTAAAAGTAAAACAAATCAATATTCAAAACCTAATTTGAAAGAAATAATCTGTCACGCGAACCTTTCAAAAGGTGTTTCTGAGTACAGTACTGTCCAGAATCAACCGCTACCTAGAAACTACAGCCTAACCGCAACCGAACCGCAACCGCGGTGTTAGGTTATTTCTGGACAGTACTGTATGTCTACTAATAGTTTTGTCTAGAGCTTCAGTTTACATTGGATTTCAAGTCAATGCCGTGTGTTTACAGCAACGCTCCTAAAGCCGTATTCCCCCTGGTAACTTATATGCCCTGTGAATACAGATTGTTAAAACATCTAATTTGAAATTAGTTGTCCCGTGTTCATCTCTTTTTTGTCGATTCTATTTGGTAAAAGCAACAAAAAAATAATCAGTTTTATTAAACCAGGGTTTTATAGTTATTTGAGCCAATATAAATTGGTGCAACAAATAAATCTGAGGTAACCAGTTTTAAATTGGTACTTCTTTTACAGTGCGGGTCTTCGTGTATTATTAATTCTTGTTAATTTGCGGCCAGAAAATTGCTGAAATTCTACTTCTTAAGTTAGCGTGAAAACTGCAAACCGCCGGAGAAAGTATAATTCATGTAGCTACACCTACTTTAAAGTATACATGTTTAATGCACGATATTTGAATTTACCCATTCACGAGCAAACGTTAATAGTTATTTTGACGGTTGAGTCCAAGCGGGCACAACAAGTACAACGGACCTGATAGAGCCGGCGTTGAATGACTATAATTATATCTACCGACTTTTGAAACGGAATTTACTTTTAATCTGTTTGAATATACTGTCATTACTGGATATTTTTAATCAATCTTGCGATGTGAACGACCAGCTAAAATATCATGCCGAATTTTTTTCTAGCAAGCAAACCGTCGCCGGGGTTGCTAGCTCACCTGTCGCTGAAGTTTGCACATTTCATATATGCAATGTAAACTATCTTGCCGAGCGGTTAATAGAGCCAGTTACGCTCATAAACAACAAAATTAATCCGGGGTGAACACAAATGTTATGTAAACACGTTCATACTTCGCCTTATTGTTAATGTCTTTTATGCTATCGTACGGCTATATTTCACTGCCATTTGTTGAAGTCGACACGATTCCGACAATTTTGCCATCGTGAAATCGTCGAAACACCGCGACAGATCATTCGTGACTACAGTTGGCTTTAATCGCAACAGATGTTTGGCTCCCACGGTAAATTTCATTGCTATAGATTAGCATATTCATTCTCATTGCCAAAATTGCATCCAGTACGCTGTAATCTTAAATCACTAAAAACTTGTGCCTTTTCGATAGCTAGCGCTTTATTTGTGCATGCATTTCGCAATTGGCTGCTTCAAAAATTTTTTACTGCAAAAGCTCATTTATTTGCCGTCAGCTTTAGAAAGATGTCTGTATAAAAGCATATTTATTGCATGAACGAGTTGTAAGCCATGCAGGCTTAGTTAGGATAATCGGCTCATGGGCGACTGGTCAACAATATAGGATCATTCAGCTCAAAAAGCTACTATAGGAATAGTTTACTTGCTTCCCTATATAAAAAGCGGGCTCGCTTTAAAACTCGCAGTACCGTTTAAGTACAAGTAAAACTCACAATAAAAGCCTACGATTGCATGTAAACTAATGGTTTTGAAGATTAAAGACAATTTCTCGCACAGAGAAACCACATTTCCGGATTTCATTGGTTAAAAAGCATTTAGCCGGCACTCGATAAATTTTTCGTCGTGCTGACATGGGAGACGGGCTGCGGTCGTTGAAATGCGGTATGAATATTGGATGTGTCGTTTTAATCTATCCGCAATTGGTTTAACAAACATTTAATTCCCTTGCACGAGGAATACTTTGCGTGATTATAATGCAGGCAATAAGGTACAAAC